AAGATTGAATTTGTTTTTGAACGAAAAGAAACTGAAGCTGATAAAAATAATGCAACGAAAGATGATGATGAATCAACATTATCAAGTAAATAAATTTACTTATTGAAATTAAAATTTAACAATTTATATTTTCTTTTATTGATTCATAGAATTAGGTAGTAAAATTTCAAGTTTCTTTTCATCATCTAGTTCATCAACATCTGAAAATGATACAAATGATACAACAAATACTACTGATGAAAAGATTTTGACTGTAAGAAGAATATATTTTTTTTTTCAAGAATAGAATAATAATTTTTTATTTTTTAGAATAATACTGAAACAAAGAATGATGAAGAATCAAAAAAATCTGTTGATGAAAAAGGTAAACATATTTATTTATTGAAGTTAATATTTTGTTTTCTTTTTTCTAATATAGAAGGAACTAATACAACTGATAATACAACAGCAAATACAACAGCAACTACAACAACAACAACGCCACCACCACCAAAAATAATAACAATTCGTGAACCATTGGAATTTCGTGTAGAAATACTCGATTATACGGATCCAACATCGGAAGCACAAGCTAATTCAATGCAAAAGTAAATAATCTGATTAACTGAGAATAAAAATGATGATAAATCCTGAACGGAGAAAATTTCTATTTTGTGAAACACGATTTAAAAGAAGTTTGGACAATCCCTCCTCCTTTATAGACCATGACAGCCACTGTTGATATACAATCAATAACCGTATACCAAAAACATCTCGTTCTATGATATGACCCACTTACTTTTTCTGATGTCTAACAAAACAAATTTTAATTCTGTCTTCTGACTTACGAGGAAGTCTCTTCAGATACTCCCTTCCAATTCTCAATAGTTTTTTTTTATCTATAGATACTATATAGTGTTTTAATGAAAATTGTAAAAGGATTTGAGTTTTGACTAAGCTATCGAGTTATTAATATGTGTATTTTCTACTGACCAAAAGTTTTCGGAAAACTTCTATTTTCGAATTTTGATCTGAAAATTCGCGTATATAGAAAACACAATTAGAGTAACTTTCATAAACAAATTCAGAAGTTTTGAATCAAAGTCTTGCCGAAATATGAGACAAGATATAGATCCTTTCTCATGGATCGTGTATGCAACATGCATTTTTTTGAAAGCTTCATATCTCGTAGAGACTTTGTTCAAAACTTTTGAATTTTGAAAAACTATGATCTCTAGTAAATAGACATATTAAAAACTCTGTTGTTTAGTCAAAACACAATAGGAATTCAAATCGTTTTAGAATTTTTATTAGAACTCTGTGTAGTATCTATAGGCAAAAAGTCATCGAAAATCAAAAGGGATTACCTAAAGAGTTTCCCTCGTTAATGAAAATATTTTAAATCATAAGCTTAAAACAATTCGTGATGCTTTTTTGTTGGATAGTTCTTATTGTAGTACAGCAAATCATTTGATCGCTAATATCCTTGTTTTTGAATAATCATTTCAACATCAATGAGATCTATATTTTTATTTTCAAATCACTTCCATCATATTTTAAGATCTTAAGAGTTTTATCTATATCATAGAGATAAAGACTTCAGTTCGAAAAAGAAGTCTCTGATAGTTAATTTCATTATTTTGAAAAAAAAATTCTTTAAATTACTTTAGATTAACAGCATTGGATGAACATGATCGTCAATTATTAGCTTTAGCAACAGCAAAAAATAATCTTGAATCATTTATTTATGATATGCGTGATAAACTTGAACATGATTCAAAATATAAAAAAGCAACAACATCAGAAGAACAAACAAAAATAAATGACAAATTAACTGAAATTGATACATGGTTATGGGATGATGGTATTAATGCTGATGTTAAAGTAAATAAAAGAAATAAATTTCTTTCTATTGTTTTTTTTTTAAATAGACATTAAAATCAAAATTAGATGAATTAAAAACTTTAACAAAATCTTTAATATTACGTGTACGTGAAAGTGATTTACGTTCAGAAAAAATTCAAGAACTTAAAGATACACTTAATACTACAGAACATTTTGTTCGAACAACACGTGTTTTATTTTTAAAAAAAGATGATGATGAAAAACCATTTACTGATGCAGATATTGATGCATTAGAAAAAATTGTTAATGATGTATATGTAAGAAATTGTTGTTTTTTTTTGTGTGTTTTTCATTTCATATATTAATTTATATAAAATCTTTTCTTTTTTCGGGGTTTTAGAAATGGCGTGATCAAGTTTTAGATTCATTTTCAAAATTATTACCAACTGATATGCCAAAATATTTATCAAATGATTTCGATGATAAAATTAATTTACTTAAACGTGAAACAAATTATTTACTTGGTAAAATTCAACGATTTGTTCCAAAAACAAAACCAACAACAACAACAACAACAACGTCAACAACAACACCAAAAGTTCCAATAGATAATGAAACAAATATTAAAGAAGAAGAACAAGAAACATCTTCAACTACCACGTCGACTCCTGAACAAGAAGAAACAACAACAACAACAACAACAACGACAACAACAACACCAGATGAAGGTATTTTGTTTTTATTGATTAAAAATTATTAATCATTATTTTATATTTATTTAGAAGAGCGTCCAGAATTATAAAATGTTGATCTTAGTATTAAAAACCCGTTATTCATCATTCCAAAATGCGATAACTGATAGTACTAGTCAATTGTTCTTTATTGTTGCTGTTGTCGATCTGTTATTCATTTAACTAATTTATTTGCTTACATATTTTGTTTTCTTTTTTTTTTTTTTTTCTTAAATTGTTATGACTTATTTTAAGATCAATATAGAACATGTGTATGTGTGTGTTCTGCCTTGTTTTATCTTATTAGTATGTTTCTTTTTTTGTTTTGTTTTGTTTTGTTTGCCTAAATATAAAAGTGTGAGACAAAAAAATATGATTTACTAGATTGAAAATAAAATAAACAACATAAAAAATTTAAATATCATATATCAACGATTGAGAAATAATTTAAGAAAAAGTTCACGAGAAGATCGACTAGATTTCTGGTCAATTATGGTTACAATGTAAAGTAGCTGATAACAAAAAGTTGTTGTGAACTCAGTTTTTATGGTCAGGAATGAACTGTCTATCAATGACAAAATGCTTAAGAGTGGTATTTTTTTATGGTTACTTCTATGGGTAGTCAACCACAAAAAACATACGGTTCTCAAAAGATTTTTCGTGTGTAGAACTTTGTAGAGCTCGTTGTGCTGATCATTTTAGTAAAAAAAAAATATTGAAATTTATTCAATAAATCATGGTGCTGGAATCAAAACACTTAAAAACGTCAGCTATTTCTGTCTGCTGCTGAGTGATAGTTGACGTTTTTGAGTATTTTGTGTCTAGCATTATGATTTATTGAGTAAATTTCAATATTTTCTTTTTATACTAAATAATCAATGCAACGAGCTTTACAAAAATTCTACAGACGAAAAATCTTCTGAGAGCCGTGTTTATTTTGCAATTGGTTACCTATAGAAGTATCCATCAAAGATTGAATTTGCAAGCATTTTGTCGTTGGTAGTGCATTGTGAAAACAACGTTCTCTTATAAACTTTGATGAAAGATTTTTTGAGATCGAGAGCTCTGAATTTATGAAAGATTTCTTAAAATCTTCTAGTTCAATCTTTTCGACAAACCTGCTACAAATTTAGATTTTTCGATCTCGAACATCTTTGGCCGTATTTTTTGAAAAAAAAAACATCATTTCCACCAAATAGACATTTCCTGATTGAAAAGGCCACGTTTACAAAGTTTTCTTTCTTGTTACTGCGCAAATTGGTAATCGATCTGTTACCAGTGGCTTGGTAAATTAATTGATCGGTAATGATAGTTTTCCTCCCCGATACACTACTGCATTGTCAACTGATCCCATTTTGTCACTGTTGCATCCTTAAGACCGACATCACAATCTATATTTCAATTACAAAATTGCCAAGGAAACATCGAATCTAATGAAATCTTCCAGTATCTGTGGAATGAACACACGTGATTCAGTCTACAACAACAACTAAATCTATTATTATACATCACGCTGATAATAATCCAACAAAGGAAAAAACCATTGGTACATTCTCGTTCATGTGATGCTAAGTAACACTAAACATTTCATGATTTTAATGGCATCAATAAAACGTGTGATATCACTCGTTCAACTTAAACAAGCAAATTTATTAACAACTGAAAATGAAAAATAATTGAATATATTGCTCAAAAGCATTTGAGAGATAAACAAAAGAAAAACCTACGAGCAAATATCGAATCTCGTCCTAATGTTAGTCGTGTTTTAAAGAATATATGTCGAATAATTGGTGTTGTTTTTTTTGTGGCGACACACTTGATTGCTAAAATGAATTTAAATAAACTATCGAAATCCATACAAATAATGGAAATAACTAATTTGAGAGAAAATTTCACTTTTTAGAGGAGAAGAATCCAAAAAAATCATGTTTGATCACAGGAAGAACCTAAAATGACCAAAAAACACAATCACATGATTTCTGTACTAGGGGTGTAAGCCATTCAGCTGGGCCGCTGCCAGGGAATCGCAGACAGTTTTACAAATTTTTTAGTCACCGTCGTCACTAACGAAAATTTTCAATAATCGTATGATGCGCCGCCGTTGACATTAATACATTACGATCAGTCATTTTCTTATCTTTTAGCAGCAAAAACAGTTTTCTTTTTGTTGTCAAAGCCGCCGTCGCTGCAGAAAACATAGAGTCTAGTAGGCGCCGCCGCCGCCATGGAAAAATAATTGAACTATTAAAACAGCTGCCGCTGTTTGACCCTTCGGATTACATCTCTATTCCGAACAATTCCTAAACTTTCCAATGACAGATTTTTTAATATTTCATATAATATCTTGTTCTAATTTTATTTTGTAAAATGTAAACAAAACGAAAACAAATTTGGTAAATACATAAAAGCATTCTACTCAATCAAAGAAAAACAAACGTTAAATAGTTAACTTTTTTTTGTTAAATGTGCTATATAAATCCAAACAGCAAGTATATTATTTGGATATGGATGAATATGAACAGCTAATGCAAATTGAATATCATTTGTTGCATGTTTAAAAATATTTGTTGAATGAACTGAATCAACTATTGCTTGAATAGTAGTATACGGCATTTGAAGTGAAAATCCAGTAATCTACAATGAAAAACAAAAATGTTATTTAGAAAACAAATATCTTATTTGAAATTTATTCACATTATGTGTGCCTTGAAATTCTACTAATTTAGATTCTATGTCTGTTCCAATAGATCCTTTTATGAATTCCATTTCTTTACTAAAATGAAAAGATTAGAAATAAATTTTTGATATGAAATGAAAAAAAAAAGAAATTACTCCTTAACGATTTCTCGAAGACGATTTTGACAAGTACTATGCCAACGTGTGACATTTGCTTCACGCCAATCACGAAATTTTTCATGTAAAATGTCATCAATTTGTCTTATAAGTGCAGCAACATCTTCAGCACGTGTCTCTTCATAATGTAAATCATTTGGCTAGAAATAAAATATTATTTCCTCATAAAAAAAAAATAGAAACTTGAAATAATATTCGTAAAAACCTGAACAGAAGTCCACGGTATATTATCACGTGGAAATGAATGACTAAAGAATGGTCGCCAATCTTTTGTTTTATTTACATCAAAATTCATCCGTGATGGTATATCTTGTTCTTGTATATTAGCCCATACCTTTTCATAAATAAGAAAAAGAAAAACAATCAATAAATTTAATATACTTAGGTCTGACAACGTTTAATCAATAAAAAATCTATTACATGAATAAAACTCAAAATGTCTTATCTATAATAACGTATATAATAATATTCAACGAGGAAAAAAAAATCAAGAAATCAGGACATAGCATTGTTTGGCATGACTTCCGCTGCGAGGGTTATAATTCTATTTTGGATTTAGTTCTAATATTCTTTTAGATAAAATCTAATTATAACTATTTTGATAATAGATACAGATACAATTTACGAAAAATTTGCAGCGACATTAGGACCTAACACGCCATTATATAAAACAGTTGCAAGATGAATAAAATATTTTCATGAAAGAAGAAAAGATATCAATAATAACTCTCGATCTGGTCGTCTGACAGGTTATCCACCGTGATTCATATTCAAATTATGATAGAATCATATCACATTAGATGCCTCATCCAGTCAATGATAAATAAAAGTATGAACGAGTTAGAATTTGCTGTGAACACTTAGAAAAATTTCGTCATGGATCAAAAGTCAACTAAAGCAAACTGAATTAGTAAAGATAAGTCACCAACGACTACTATTGTTCGTCAAAGTGAATTTGAACCAAAAACTTTATTTTCTATATTCTTTAAATCCAATGGTTGATGTTCTTATAATAAATAGTGTACAGTAATCGTAAAAAGTCTCGCTACCAGGTAAAAAAAAACCTAAACTTTGATCGCAAGGATCTGATCGTCCTTCATGCAGCGAAGCTAGAAAGTCAACATAGATTTTTTGTCTTTAGATGAGAATGTCTCAACATAGAAAACAAATCATATGACGTTAGATGTCTCATTCGATAGCTCGGTGCTGCCTCTAACATCAATAGGAACTCCATATCAAACGACTTTAATTTGTCTGATTTATGAAGTAATATTTGGATAATTTTCATAGAAGAGTTGATGGAAATCGTCGAAAATTGACCAATATCTCCGGCTAATGCTGAGACCGTCATAGATAATGGAGGCTTCCGTGCGCCTCAAGATTAAAGTGGATTTGAGTATTCCTATCTGTGACATAATATATAGACATACGAATTGTTATTTTTTTCATAAGAAAATGACGTTAACGCATTTAATTAGTGGAAAAGCAGTCTTTTCATTGTAAATTCATTGCATTAAGATCTTTGCAGTCAAAATGTTAGACGAAAGGATTGAAGTTTATGTACTTTGTATCCAGTAGCAAGATTTCTTGTGACTATTATAGACAAAAACAGAAAACAGTTGTTTCAAGCCTATTGTCTATGACCTGTAGAAATAATGACAATCATCAATTGCAAAAACCATAAAATTACTTCATGACAACACTCAATCTTATACTCATCTAGATGTTGTTAATTATTTAACACAAGAAAGTATCAATATAATACTGCATCTACCGTTCTCAGCAGACTTTACGTCATATGATTTTTGGTCAAATGATTATACTAAACATAATTTAATTGACCAAATAAAAGAAAAATCATTGGTTCGTATAATTTCGAAGATAGTTAAAAATATTCTAGAAGAAGAATTTTTAAAAAGTTTAAAATATTTCTTTATTTTTATATTATTATTTAACGTTGTCAGTACTTTTAGTCAATCCTAAATAGAAATATTTCAAAGAAATCTTACATTTTCTCTATTTGCTAATAGATATATACTTCGAATTGGATTCCATGTATCAATTGTTAATGCATCACGTCCATCAGCTACACTCCAACAAGTTGGATAACGTTGTCCATCGTTTTTTGTTAAAACAAAACAACATGGACCACTATAAATTGATACACCTAAATAATAATAATAATAATAATAAAATTTAATGTTATTTTTTTTCTTTGCGTAATTTCTTCGAATAAGACTTATATTTCTAACATACCTATAGCTATCCAACTATTTCTATTCAATGTTAAAAAATAATTATTCAATAAAACAGCATGTTCTTCATCATCACCAGACATTGTACGTAAAAATTGCTAAAATAAAATTTTTATTTCTTCAAAATATAAATTACAAATGAAAAATATATTAACAATAGAGATGTTGACGGCTTGACTAGTTTCATATTAACTCGTCTGACATGTGACTCGACTCATAACCTGCTAGCAGATTCAGTTTAGAACAGATTATAGGATCATGAATGAACTTAGGTCAAATAAACACGGTCATTTTAGTTGGTTGTTTGTGAAGCAGAGTATTATGATTGTATTTCATTGTATTGTAAACGATCAGACACTCGATTTTCAGTTCGTTATCAATTACGTACGGTACAATAAACTACAATCGTAATACTGCGCCTACCAAATGTCAATTTACAGCTGTTTACGATCACACACTGCATAAAACGACAGTATACGGTACCATTTTTAGCCGTCTCGGCGACTGTAATTATCGTCCTGGGAATGGGCTGGCTTAGACTCGTCAGAAAAATTTTCACGCATGAAGATGTTTTTTTTTTTGTTCGTTAAAAATTGCATTTCTAAAGTAACAAATCAAGTAATATCATGACGAGCTTGTGTTTTTCATAGGATTTACATGTAAATATTAGTTGAAGGAAATTCTAAGAGACATAGCTTTGTTCTTTTTTACATGTGAATGTCCCATGAAAACATTTTATCACTAGTTTAGCTTACAATTTTTTGACCCGTATTATTACAAAAAGAAAACACCAAAAATCGATGGAATTTGGATACAGTATTTCGAATTGAAAAGTCTCCGGATTTTAACTGATGACTTCCAGCCAACTTCACATTCTTTACAACATAATAAAGCCATAAATCATTGGAGAAAAATCCGAAGACTTTCATATTCCATCGATTTTTGATGTTTTTCTGCCGAATACGAGACTCATTTTAGATTATATTTGAAAAAAAGAATTCAGCTACAAAACATAAGTGATAGATCACCGAAAATTTTCAAGTTCTGAATAAAGTTTGTAGCTATTTTCATTGAATTGAATAGACAATGGTGCGTACAATCATATTTTTGTTTTCATGACAATAGTATAATAGCAGGTTCTCAGACCAAAATCATGAGCTTGTACAGTAGAACCCATCGGATTCAAAACTACCAAGCCGTACTTTAATACTTTCAATAAAATTTTCCAATCAGAATAGGGGATAGCCGCCTCAAAAATACGAGATATGTTTTTATCTGGTCGTTTGCATTCGATGATTAGTGTAGTCTACATATTTCTCCGAAGAGCCTTCCGAGAAATGTGTATGGTAGAGCTCATCGAGTTCAGGGCCAACCCGACGGGCTCTATTGTGAAGCCAATACTATATGGATGAATCAATTTTTTGATCGTTCTATTGACCAACTTACATCGGATGTTTCCCAAATATCACATAGTCCTGGAAAAGTAACTGTATCAGCAAGAAATGGAATTAATGAAACAAAACGAGCCAATTGTTGCTAAAAAAAATATTCAATAGAAAAAATAAAGATCATTCAATTTTTTTTTCTATAATAAATATATATTTACACATACCATTTGATTATCTCCTCCACCTCCAGCAGCCGCTGCTGTTGTTGTATCTGCTGCTGTTAAACCAAGTGGTGGTAATGGTAATGGATGAAGAAAACGTGGTATAAATACTGCTCGACCATTTATATCTGATACTGTTGCTTTATAATCTCGATTAGGAAATTTTTTATTTAACTCTTCAACCCAGAAACGAGCATGATTAAGTAATTCAAGTGATTCTGTACTATCAAACTATTGATACAAAAAAAAAATATTTCATTTTCATTTTATTTATAAAAAATTAAATTCTTACCGATTGTTGAATTGATTCTGGTGGTGCTAAAAGTGGATCCATTGTAGCAAACATACGAAGTACACTAGTTGGTAATATTCTTTGAGTTGTATCAAGTTTTGTTCCAGAGAATTTATCTCTTGAATAACCTAATAATGGATTTGGTATATTTAAACGATAAGTACCTTCTAACTAAAATAAATTAAGAATATTTTCGTTATTTTAAAAGTAAAAATTTTTTTTTTTTGTTTGTATTTTCATTACTCGTCCATTAACATAAATATTACTAAATGGAATTTTAATTGATCCAAGCCAATTTCTTGCAATACGTTCTCGTATAATTTGATCACGTTCTTGATCTGTTTTTGGTTGATCAACATGAAGTTCATCAAAAATATTTATATAAAGTATATCACGACAACGTTGTATTGAACTTGCATCAAAATCATTATCCGGTGGCCTTGAATAATATAAAACAAAAGAAAAATGAAAAATAAGTCAGATGTTAATATTCTCATCGTAATTTTCATATATAAAACTGATTGTAAATTTTCATATATGAGTTTTTTTCTTTTTATTTTGAAAATTATCATGTTAGTATTATTAATAATTCTTTTATTTTATCCTTCAATTATTATATCAGAATCATTACCCTATGCAGAATGGGCACATTATCATATGATTTGGTTATCAAATTCTCATTCAAATCAAATCGATATACAAAATATGTTTAATGATTATATAAATCATAATATTCAATTTGGTATTGTTAATATTGATTCAACTTGGGCAACAAATTTTAATACATTTATATTTGATCCAATAAAATTTCCAACAATACGAAATATGCTTGATCAATTTCGTGAAAAAAATATTCATATTGTCTTATGGATGACTTCAATGATTAATATTGATTCACCAAATTATCAATATGCACAAGATCATGGATATTTATTTAATAAAACAATTAAATGGTGGCATGGACATGGACGTTTATTGAATTATTTTAATGTACAAGCTGTTAATTGGTGGCATGAACAAATTGAACGACTTATAGATGCTGTTGGACCCATTCATGCATTTAAAGTATGAAAAAAGTCGATATAATTTATTATTAATGAGTTAGATTGTTTTGATAAGATATATCTTTTAAACTGAATTGTTATTGAAAAACAAGCGTTAGCGACGCATGACACATAAAACAAGACAAATGTTTTCACTGTATGTGTGTTTTGTAGAGAACTTTTCCGACTACAAAATCTCTACGCGAAGTTTTTCCTGAATACATTTAAAACTGAGTTTATTCGTTGTTAGCGATGTGATTAAATACGTGCATATAGAAAAGATAATTCGTCTTTTAACTGTACGAGAAGTCAAAAAAAGAAAAACAATTCTAAACCGACATCATGAGATGATATCAAAACAAAAAAATCTTGTTCTAACTTCTAAAAAATCCAATTTTGAGAAAATAATTTTTTGAAGTTCAATCTTACTGAAATTTTCATCATAAGGTTAAAAAGTTATTTGCTAATTAGATGTACAAAATCAAATTGTAGATAATCATATTTCATTTTCGTTGATTTTAATCATAGGCTGATGGTACTGATCCATATATAATTGAAGTACTTGATCCTCGTGTAACATGGGAACGTTATCGTACAGCTTATTATAATGATACATTTCAAGTTTTACGTCGATTAGTTGGTTCAGATGCTTTAATTATGTCACGTCCAGTTGATGATGATCTTGAGTTTTCTCCACATGAAATTGTTTTTATGGGTTGGGTTGGTGATGAAGATGGTACATATAATGGATTAAAAACAGCTATTCGTTATATGCTTGAAAGTGGTCGTCGTGGTTATGTTGGTTTTGGTTCAGATATTGGTGGTTATCGATCTGATCCTAGTGCTGGTACTTTAGGTCGTACAAAAGAATTATTTCTTCGTTGGACAGCTATTGGTGCTTTAAGTTCATTTATGGAAAATGGTGGTGGTGGTGAACATCTACCATGGAAATTTGATAATGAAACAACTGATATTTATCGATCATGGGTTAATTTACATTATAAACTTGTACCTTATCTATATAGTGAAGGTACAAAAGTAGCAATTGGACGAAATGGTACATTAATGAAACCATGTGATGATATTGAAGCATTATTTAGTTATTCATATTTTCTTGGTCCACATATATATGTTGTACCAGTTTTACAAGATCCAACTCCTAATCAAACTCAACGTTTATGGTTACCAAAAAGTTCAACAAATTATTGGATAAATTATTTTAATACATCAATTATACATAAATCTCATATATTTATTAAAGAAGATACAAGTAGTCTTTATCGTATACCAATCTATATTGAACAAAATTCATTAATACCAATGTATGATATTAAAAAAAGTTATACACTTAATGCATTCAAATTTGTTCTATGGGGTAAAATTATATCTGATAAACAACAAACAACATTATTTACACGTGATGGTCAACAATGGTTATTAGAATTTAATCGTTTTCAACGAAAATTAACTGTACATTTTATTCAACAATATAATTCAAATAAAAAACATAAATGGATATGGAAATTTTGTCAATATGTTAATCAACAAGAAATTTGTTCACATAAATGGTTAGCACTTTATGATAATGCTTCTGTTCAACTTGAATTTTTAATTTAAAATAAATAAATAAATACCTGAAAGGAATACGTAATTCTTCATTCCAACTTGGATTTGGTCCATCAGCTATACTTGTTCGATAAGTTTCTCTTTGAAATTGAATTTCAACATAAGGTCGTAGTAATGACTAAAAAAAACATAATATTTATTTTAAAGAACAAGATTTTTTAAAATTCTACATTTAGAATAGATTGAATCAAAGACTGCTTAAACTGTCTTTCAAAGAAAAATAGAGCATCATCCTTATGTATATGATATGCTCCGTTCGATTTGAAATACATCAGAACACAAATAACTAGAAATTTATGATTTTTAACGATTCAAAAGAGCGAAATGAGGAACGTGAACCTATGCAGGAAAAAAACTGTTAGCGCAATTCCTGTAAGATTAAAATGTGAAATTCACATATAGTTTTTAGCCTCATTATACTAATACAAAATATTTTAAGTGAAATATATCTAATAGCCTATAGTTTGTTTTTCAAGGGGGATCGAGCATCGGATAAAATGATTTGTCTTGTTTATTTCTGGATTTCAAATAGAATGTTTTTTTTTTACTGGTGCTCTATTTTTTCTGTCCCTTGTTACTTTTGATTTTGATTTTCCTCAGCCTAACTACTCTAATCATTGATTCGAACTGGCAAATAAGCTTATTGTACATATTCATTATATCTACAGCAGATCTCAACACGCTATTTAGTAAACTCACAAACACTAAATATTAATTATTTTTCAAAATTATAACTTGATCAGTTCACGCTTTTTTAGTGTTGATCATATGATGACTCTGGCAAATCTCAATGCATCACTACCGAGCGTCATTGATATCTTGAATATAAATTTCTCTATGTGTAAAAATCCAAAATGCGACTATTTAGAACATTCAAAAATATATTCCAGATATTCAAATTTCGACAAAAGCTTTTTAATGTTCTAGAACAATCTAAGTCTTGTTCTTAATGTATCTTTTTCCAATGTTAAGAGAACTCTGGGAAAGGAGTTTGATGCCTGTTGTCCTCGGTTGTTATGAAAACGTATGCAAACACCGTCGGCTTGTTCTCCTTTCTCTCCATCGTTATAAGGAAGAGCCGAAAACCTCAACTAGAAACTCATATTCACTATATTTTTCTTTGGAAAAACGTGATCTAAATTTCACGATTCGATTTGAGATTCTCGAGTTTATGATGTGATATGTATAGTCTATGAAATCGATTTTTTATTTTTTGTGTCAAGATTTTCAATAAAATGACATTTAACGAAAATATTAATACGTGAATGTTACGTATATAATTGCCTGACGATGAATAAGAAAATATTTCCTTCTGAAACTATAACAAGAAAAATCATTTAATACGAATATTTATCATATCTCAATGTTAAAACATAACTCCACGAAGTTTAATTAATCGAATCATTTCTGATTAAAATTAAATATTATTA